TTTTGCCAGGTTCTTTACATGTCCAATAATTTTATATTATATCTTCTGCAGTTTTGTTTATGTGAGACTTTGGGAACCTAGTAAAATCCTCCAAATAATTTATTTGCTTGTCTCTTTGTTTGTTTGAGGGTTCTGTTTATTTGTTTGTTTTCGGAAGCAATAGTCCAATTAGGTTCAAGCTGTAAGTTTTGTTTCGCTTTCTGTGGATGAATGTCTTTTCAGTTTTCAAAGCATGTGTTATGCTTTCCATATACCACTCAGGGGTTAGTTTGAGGCTTGGGCAGTAGTTTATACACAGTTCAGTTCTCATAACCTTTGCTTTGCTCCTCTGGTTATGCTTCACATACGCACAACTTAGGGGTGAGCCTAAGACTTCTGTTGATTCATACACAGAGGTAGATGATCTCTTCCAGCTCTCTCTTCACCAGGACTTCCCCACATTCTCTGGCTTTTAAGCTATAAGGACAGTGTTACTTCTAAGAAAGACACTTCACCAACAGCCAATCATACACCTGTTTTCACCTCTGCCTTTTTCTGGTTCATGGGCCAGTTTATCTACCCGGCACCTGACCTTACTAACCCAAGTGACACCCTCAACCTCAAACTTTTTACAGCCTCCCCAAACTCCCATACTGGGTCAGGTATATGTTTTATGATCATAGTATCTTGCAGTTAGCTTTATGAAACTTATAATAGTTTGTATTTCCACATATTTGTTTGTATGATTATTTTATTTATGCTTATTTCTCTGTTAGACTGTGCTAAGAGAATGGACTCTGGAATCAGACTTGCAAGGTACAAATCCTGGTCACATATACTGGTTGGGAGATCTTAGGCAAGTAACTTAGCTACTCTGAGACACTATTTCCTCATCTGTAAAACTGAGGTTAAAGTAGTATTCACCTCATATAATTCTGGGAAGCTAATACTGCATGTAAAGGTACCTGGCACTCAATAAATCTTAAAGTCATTGTTAACATATTAAAGTAGAAAATACATATTTTAAAATATATATCTACCCTCCACCCCATAATGAATCTCTTTCTTTCCCCATTTACTCTTCTCTCTCTCCACCCCAGTTTGGCCTGACTGTATTATATATTAACCACGTTTCTTTTTTGTTTTGTTTTGTTTTGTTTTTACCTTTTTAAACCTAATTGCAAAACCCATTATCTTATTGAATTTACCAGCGGGTAGTTTTTTTTTTTTTTTTTTTAACAGAAATGTTTTAAAATGTTAAAAGAAATCCCACCATTATTTTCTTTCCACAATATTGAAGCTCCTCTTTCATTTTTCTGGAATGGCTACTAAGTAAAAGGCACTGACTGATCTACTGCTCCACAGCAAGCCACCCCTAAATCTAGTGTCTTAAACCAATGATTTATTATGATTTACTATAGTTCCGTGGGTAAATTGGGCTCATCTGAGTAGTTATTGTTTGGTTTCTGTAATACTATTTCAGGCAAATAGAGGCCGGGACTACAGTCATCTATAGGCTTGAATGTGCAGGATGTCAAACGTGGTTTCTTCACTCACATGTATTGGTGCCTCTACTAGAGTGGATGGAACAGCAGTGGGCTGGCTGGACATCTCTGTTTCTCTGTCTCTGTCTCTCACACACACATAATCATTAATTCTCTCTGTCTCTCTCTCCTTAGGCTTCCCCATTGGGTGGCTTGGGCTTTTTACTAGTATGGAGATCTCAGTGCATTCAGACTTCTTACCCAATGGTTACCTTTCTCAAAACAAGTGTTGCAAGAGACTCAGGTGGAAACTACAAGGCTTCTTAGGACCTTGCCTCAGAGGTCTCATAGTGTTACTTCTGCTGCACTCTGTCATAGGGCCAGCCCAGATTCAGGTGGAGGGGAACACACATGAATATGAATTCTGAGAGACATGGTTTACTGGGGGTCATCTTTGAGGATGAGCTACCACCATGAGCCTATAAACATACTCAGCAAACCCACAAAGCCCCTTTCTTTCAGAAACTTATAGTATAGTACAGGGCAGAGTTTCTTCACTTTGGCACTATTGACTTTTTAAAAATTAAATACATTTTTTTAGAACAGTTTTAGATTTACAGAAACTTTGCAAAGATAGTGCAGAGTTCCTGTATACTCGCACCCAGTTTCCGCTATTATTAACATTTTACATTAAGGTGGTACCTTTGTTAAAATTAATAAACCCATCAATTGATACATTACTATTAACTAAAGTCCATACTCTATTCAGACTTCTTTAGTTTTAACCTAAAATCATTTTTCTGTTCAAGGATCCCATCCAGGATACCACCATACATTTAGTGTTCATATCTTTTTAGGCTCCTCTTGGCTGTGACAATTTCTCAGACTTTTCCTGTTTTTGAGGAGTCTTGGTCAGGTGTTTTGTAGAATGTCCCTCTATGGGAATTTGTCTGATTTTTTTTCATAACTAGACTAGGGTTAGGGCACATACATGAACAACGTGACTTACCATTGTTGATGTTAACCTTGACCACCTGGCTGAAGTAGTGTTAGGTCAGATTTCTCCTCTATAAAGTTACTCTCAGTCCCGCCTCCCCACCCACGACTATGGAAGTTATTATGAGAAACCCGCACCTAAGGAGTGGAGAGTCATGTTCCATCTCCTTGAGGAAGGATTATTTACATAAATTATTTGGAATTCTTCTGCAAGGAAGATTTCTCTTCTCTTTCACTTAATTAGTTTTCGATAACTTATTTATACCACTATGGACTCATGGATATTTATATTATAGCTTAGGTTATAATCCAATACTATTTTGTGTATTTGTTGCTCAAATAGTTCCAACTTTTGCCCTTGGGAGATCTTTCAGATGGTTCCTGTGTCCCTTTGACATACGCCATCAGCGTTTTGTTTTATAACTTTCGTTGTTTTTTGAGCACTTCTTACTTTCTAGCACTAGAAGATGCTCTAGATCACGTATTTTTCTTGCCCCACATCTAAAATCAGCCCTTTTTCCAAGGACCCCTGGTTCCTTTTATTAGAAACCAATATCTGGGTGCTAGTTGTGTTCATTGCTACATTGTTAACGTTTTGGGCCTGATAATTCTTTGTTGTTGGGACCTGTTCTGTGTATTGTAGATTGTTTAACAGCATCCCTGGCCTCTGCCTATTAGATGCCCATGGCAACGCTTCTTCTTCAGTTGTGAAAATCAATAACGTCTCCAGACATTGTCAAATATCCCCTAAGGGGACAAAATGGCCCCTGGTTGAGACCCACTGGTAAAGAGACAGACCTGCTGAAAATGACAAGGATATAATATAATGGAGAACAGTGGGAGAATTGCAGAAGAATCCTCTGAGCCTGTTTGTAGATATTGGGGAAGGATTCACAGAGGAGGTGACATCTGAACTGAAAATTGATTTGATATTTTGAGCCATTATCATGAGCCAGACAAAAGGTGATGTTTTTTTTTTGTTGTTGTTATCTCTTATCCCAAACTTAAAAAGCAGGTATTTTACAGTTGAAGAAGCAAAAGTTCAAAGGGACAAAGTAATTTTATTTACAGTGCCTGAGCTGGTCTTGTAGGATACAGTCAGCCATCTGTGTGGAGAGCTTTGAGGGTACTGACAACTCCTCACACTGCTCAAATCTAGACTATCTGAAGCACTCCTTGGTTTATAAAAGTGCACTACCATCTCATTTTTAATTTATTTTTTTTTCCATCGAATTCTGGCTTCTTGAGAGCAGAAACCATGGAGTGTTCATTTACAATATTTGCCACATTGTAGGTGAACTAGTAAATGTTAATCCGTTCCATGAAATTCCCCACTCACAGATTACAGAATTAACTCATGCTTCCTTCTGGTCAAACTGCTATCCAACCAGCACCTCTGGTGGAGGGCTCAGTGCCAAGCATACCAGCCAACCTCCCGTAGTGGTAACTCTGCCTCCTCACTGTTTTACTCCCAGTGTCTCAAAAGGAGTAGTTGGCTTGTGTCAGTGACAACCTCAAACTGATTATAGCCTGTGGCACTTTGCCATAGGTTAGAGCTGCAAAAGGTGTTTTCTAAGGAAGGCAAAAAACATGCTATACCTCTGATATTAAAATGCAGAATGTGTTGCTACTGGTTTCCACATGTAATGCCAATTTCTACTTTTGACAATTCCTTTGTCCCATATGATTCTTCTATCATTTAAGGAAAATTTTTACACAGACCATGAAAGGTGTTTTTTCCTTCCTTTCAAATGCTTTACAGTCTTATCCCAATTTCCTTATTTATTTATTTATTTATTTATTTATTTATTTATTTGGAGGTGGGGAGGTTTTCTAGTTTATTAAATAAAACAGGGAAAAAAATTCCTTTTGGTTGTTGTTGTTGTTGTTCCTTTTCTTTTTCCTACAACTTCTAGATTTGCTATTTGCAGTTGCTATGAAATTTTAAGTCTATTGAATTAGAAGTTTCTGTCTCTGGTTTCAAGACTCACTTTCCTTCTTCCTTTCCTTTGCTAAAATTCTGGTCTAATTAAAAAAACAGTAGATCATAGTTAAATAAAACTGCACCCAGGATAACCCTAATTTCCATATGCAGATTTATCTGCACTGACAGCTACCCCCCCTTCACACACACTCTCGCTCTCTCTTTCTCCTTTCCCTCCTCTCCATCTCCCTATTGCATTGTGTCTGACTGATTTTCAGAGCACCTTCGCTGTTTCCCTCTTCTCATTCCCTTTCTGTAAAATATCTAGACAGGAAGGAGGTGGCTCAGAAGCTGAACAAACAATCTCATATTCTGCCTGCAATGTCATCGTTTCTTTCCCCCATTTTAGGGGGCTGAAGTTGCCCAGGAAGGGGATGCAGAAGAGCTGAAAGGAAGGGGGGAGCTCTCCAGAGGCAGCTGCGGTCAGGGGCAGGGACTGCTGCCAGATGTGCCTGCCTCTCTGGGCTTTGATGCGAAAGGGGCAGCAGGAGGAAATATTGGGAGACAAAAGCCCCCGTTTAAATGATCATTTTCTTTATTTAACATGGCAGCAGACACTCTCTGCGTAGGATCATCATGCCGAGCATAAACTGGACTTTCCCACTTGCCTGGCAGGAGTGAGACAGATCACTGTGTGCTATATGAGCATCTGAGGTAAGACCCACTCTTACAGATACTTGATTTTTTCCTAATCAGTTAATTTTCTTAAATATATGTTTCAGCCTCAATCATATATAGTACAGTAGGGGCAAATCTGTGTTAATCTGCATCTAAAGATCCAAAAAAAAGCAGAGGTATAATATATTCAACTCAATTTGGGGAGGTTAGTTACTTTGTCAATTCTGTGTGTGCTATTTGTTTTTTTAGAAAAAATATTTGGTTTAAGAATAGACTGGTGTCATCATAATCCACCACTGGTGATAATACTGATGTTCAGACTCTTAAAAAAAAACTTTGCAAAAAGACAGTGAGCTACAGATGCATGTGCTGTATTTTTAGCTCACATACAAATATTAGAACTCTTATTAAAATGATAGGGTTTTTTTTTAACAGAGAAGGAATGAATGCTGCATAATTAAGTACAGTATTTAATTTGGCTGTTGTGAAGCAAAAGAATAAGGTAATAATTTTTATTGTACTAATCAGTCTCAAGATGTTCTCTGTGTTAATTGGGTTAAAAAAATTGCAGTACTTATTAGAAATTCTAATTTCACAATGCAGCACTGACAATAAGCTCAGCCAGTGAATTATTCACATCTTTAATTTGCTCACTTAATGACAGTGTTCTGTAATCAGAGTGCAGAGACTGCTGCCTATGCATTATGTATGATGCTCAGGACTTAAATGCAGGACATTATGAAGCTCTCAGTGGTTCAGTAATTAGTTTTCCACAAGACAGGATTTAGATATTCACAGATAAAAGTCCACAGTTGGATAATGCTAAGGTTGCAACACAAAATAACAAAGGAAAGGAAGCTCAAAGTTTAGACTGAAACTTTGTCTTTCTGGCCTTGTCCACGGTGGAAACAGAATCAAGCCACCTGAAATAGTTGCCTAGCTCTGATCACATGTTTGAAAACTGTTTTTGAACAAAGTTGTAGCAGGCAAGGCATTTGAACAATTTCAGTGGATCAGAGGGGAAAGATAAAACCTTTTTAATTAGTGTTCACAGAAGCCCTGCAATCTATCCTCTTAATAAGTCTGTAGCATGCATAACAGGCATTTTCAATGTGCTTTGTAACTTAGTGCAAATGCAAATCAGGTTACAATAGTGTTTGGCTGTAATTGTGTTTGTAAAAGGGTTACATGCCCAAATGGAGATTGAGCTTGCTCATGGTTTTGTTCCAATTGCTTCTGAGGGGAGGTTTGAAAACCAAATGAGATATTAAGTGAATCTGGGCATGAAAGGAAGTAGATCTGAATTGTCAGTGCAACTCTGGAATTTCTTACACTTGTCAGCTTAGAGTTGTCAGTTTTTCTTTAGTGATTCTGTCATAATTGTTGTCATAAATTATATAACGTTATAGACTATCCAGAACCTTTAAAAATGCTTTAAAAATATATACTAACTTTGGGAAAACATTTCACAGTATCAGTTCTGAAGTTTAATGACTAAATTGAAATCTTTAACTACAGTGATTGTTTTCTTTTTTTAAGAACATGCTGTGCTGCTTGGGGTATGTTTGAAGACTTAAATATTAATCTTTATTAATAAGATCCCATTGCTTTATCATTTGCCAGTCTAAGATTTGTGCTCATTTCTAAAACCCAAGTGTTAGGACTCAATAAATATTGGTATCCAAAATTGGAATGCACAGTAACACTTTTTAAAAACTTCCTTTTATAGCTTAGAACATTTTTTTAAAGACAGTTGAACTGAGAAATCTGTAGGCAGATGTAGTGTTTAGTGAATGAATGAACTAGTCAAATTAAAAAAAAATTATATTTCACCATAATTTAAAAAATTTTAAAGTCGCACCTCCAAATTTGACTTCTAACTTCTAGAACTGAAAAGTTACTTTAACAAAATAAAAAAGGTTTTCCTCTATGTTTAGGAAACTGTTGCTTTTGTGGTATTTAGAACATCCTTTTTGGGGAAAGGACACTTGTTTGGGAGAGGAATTAAGATATTGGGCAGTTGAGCTGGTGACCTGGCTTTGTCGTGGGTTTGTATACAGAATAATATGTGGCAACCAGATGGTGGTAGTGGTACCGGTAGGTAGCTTAAAGAAATGGCTGGGAGTTAGAAAACTTGGTTCTAGTTCTATTTCTGCCACAAACCAGCTATGTGACTTTGAGCACTTTAAAATCATTTTCCATTTCCTCAACTGTCAGACAGGAATAACAAACTTTTCTAGGCTTTAGAAAAAACAACTGTAGAGTTGTTATGGGGATAAATGAGGTAGAAGGAGTGAAAGTTTTTTGAAAATTTAAAAGCACTAGACAAAAATAAGGAAGTTATTTTAAGGATTAGCCTAAAACTAAATGTGTTTCTTTGAATGTATATTGTTTATTATGGCAGATGCAATACTCTATAATGCAAAAATGTCAAAATGTTGTCAAGTAAATCAATTTAAATTTAATTTAGTGAAAATAAGCCATGAAAAATTTCCATCTTAGGTATTTGGGGGAGAATTAAGAGAGCTTTGAGATCTCATAAACATCATTTTGATGTCACTACTCCAAAAAGGTTAGTGATTCTCTTGCTTTAGACAGTTCTTTCATCCGTCACTTAGGATAACTTACATATTAATACTCTCAGAAATCTTATGCCTGGAATGTCTGTCAGTCACTAAGATTTCAGTCTTTCTTCTTCTTAGTTTATATGAGTCAGATTGAGATCATTTACACCACCAGAATTTTGGATCTATTTTACTCACCAAAAATCAGTATATCCACTGATTAATCAATAATTCATTATCTTATTAATTTTTTTCATCATCTATTGAGCACTTACAGTGCTATCAAAAATAACATGCTCTCTCTCCCTCACTCTTATGAGGCAGTTATGTCTGTATTGCAGATGAGAGACTGAAGCATAATGAAGTTAAGTAACTTGACAATACCACACAGCTTGTGAGTGGTAGAGTTGGAATTGAACCAGCTCCAAGTCCTGAGGTCTCAACCAATAGACTGTATTATCAGTTCCTAAGACCCTGTGCTAATTGCTGAGACAAGGTAATTGAGATTCCTGCCCTCAAACTGCTAACAGTGGTAACACTTGAATTTCTTCTGCATGCTCAGTTGTAGGTCAAGACTTGCTTCTCATAATATGGTCTACAGACTAGCAGCACTGGCATCATCTGGAACCAGGCTTGGGTGCTTTGTAAATTTTGATGTGGCTTTTATATCACCTGGGGATAAGGAGAAAATGCAGATTCTCACTCAGTAGGTCTGGGATGGGGCCCAAGATACTTTTCTAATGTTTCCAGATGATGCAGTGTTGCTCTTTGGAGAAGCTTCCAGTTGGTGACTTCTAGAATTACTCTTATTTCCCAAAGTTAGGTACCCAGTGTGTCTAAGACAGGCCACGTGTACTGGATTATTTACTGAGTCCTGCTCTTCCTCCATTTCTGATGTTTCTTTGATCCAGATAGAAGAGCTTCCACCTTGGTTTCCTGACTTCAGCCCTCTGCTGCCCTGAGTCTTAGCCCGCATACCTGTGGCCCTGGCTACCTGCTTAGCTCTGGCTTAGACCCTCTCCAATGGGTCTGATCTCACACTCCCAGTTACTAGCATTGACAGTCCTGTATCTGTTGTGGCATCAACCTGGTTGAGGACCTTTATTCCCTTTTCTGCATCAGAATCACCTGTGAAGCTTATTAAACACCTGCAAGCCCTCTCAGCACCACTGGCATAGATTCTGGTTCAGTATACCTGGAGTGAGTCTAAGGACCCTTTTTTTTTTTTCCCAATCTTTTACAAACCTTTGTAGTTGATCTGATGGACAGCACATGCTGAAAACACGATCCCTGGGGTCCCTTGCTGTGCCATGACCAGATGGGAATTATTTGGAAAGTGATATTGGTGTAGCTTGGGTTCAAGTTTGCCATGCACTAGGAACATTTTCTCTATGCCTCTATGTTAGCAATGGGAGCACAACATAGGAAGAATTTAAAACTTTGCTGAGCTAGTTTCAGGGAGGCTTTGCTGAATGATTGACATTTGAATTGGCTAGTCATTGAATAAATGTCTTTTTTTTTTCAGGTTAAAGGAATAGCATATGCAAAGACAGAGATAAAAATAAGAAAGGTATCTTCAATACTGAGACATCCATTTTGACAAAAATGTTTGTTCAACACACGTAAGGGAGGATTAGGAGATAAAATTATAAATGTAGGTAGCCTCAGTTTCAGGACCTTATCTGTTAAATCAAAGAGTTTACACTTCATTCTATAGACAGAATTACCTGAGGTTAAGATGGAAAGCAAGGTGATCAGATATGTGTTTTGAAAAGATAATCTTGGCATTGAGGTATATGAATTTAGTGGGGCAAAACTGAAGGGAAAGAGACAAGTTAGGTACCTGTGGTAATAGAGTGTGAGATGGGGAGGGATGTTTTTCTCAGGCCACATGCCTGAGCCCTGAACTGAACTCCTTCTGTCTCAGACCCTGATGATGTTTCTTTATCACACTTATATTTTATAGTAATAATCCACATGTTAGATCTTTTAAATGGCATGGCCTTGAGAATTCAGGGAACTCAGTGCTTTTATGAGCCATCACTGGTTCTTCTCTTGATTATTTTACCTTATAATGCTAAGACAGCTAGCTCTAGGGTTCTTCTCTCAGGAGCTGCTTAGAGATTTCAGGTAATTATTTGCTAGCGAAATCTTCTACGTTGGTCTAAGAGAAACTTGAAAACAGTTAATGAGCAGCAATAGGAATGCCAATAGTTGGGAGAATTGTGTCTAGGCCTCTTGAATGTACTGCGATTGCCCAAGCTCTGGAGAAGGACTTTGCATAGTCCATTAGCCTCGACCCAGCTTGATTTTTTGTCCTGCATCTGAATTTGTCCTTCTCAGAGTGAATCTCAGATGTGCTTAGGCATTTCACCCATTTTTTTTGACAAAAGTGTTTGTTCAACACACATAAGGGAGGAGTAGGAGATAAAATTCTAAACTTCAGTACTTCCTTGTTCCTAGCTAAATTCT